CATTTGTAATAATATGCAAATTACTGTATGTCTGCAGTGTGAAAACTTTCCATCTGCCTACCTTGAACTTGAAAATCACAGGTAATAAAGGTATACACGCAAAGGTCAAATGCATTTCTTTTTTTTTTTAAATATAAACTTATGATCAGATGTGTAATAACGTATAAAGCATGTCCACACTATACATTAAACGCAAATGGCGGCCGAGGTCTCGTTGAGAACGAGAGAGCTACGAGACTTGTTTTTGTTACGACGGGCTCGGTAAAAAAAGAAACCATTACTAGCTAAGTCATTGGTCATATCAAACACATCGCGGCGACTAATATGATTAAACATATCATTGCCTAATCCACCAACATCCAGATATTATTATTAATCTGAAGCGAATTAGATATTAATCAGTACGTCTGGAATCAGTATAGTTTTCACGATATGAGAAGATATTCTTCGGCTACACACGTATAGTACATTGGATTTGTTGGTTCAACTACATGCTGTATCAGTATCAGTTCCTCGTCAGGATGAATCCCCGAAAAGTCATCGTCCGAATCGCACGGTCCCGTGTCTTCGACCTATAGGCCTCTACACGATAGACTTGGCCGAATAAACTTAGATCTTGGCTAGCGAAGATGCGAAAAGTAGATTGGCTCACAGTTCCTCAACACTGTGATTAGCTATAGTATTTCGCGCGGTGTCCGAAGATGTTCTGCATAGCCAATCAGATTCGGATACGTCTAAGCATAGACCTTTCTAAGGTCTATGGCCTGAGCAGACGCGCAGACTAGGCCGTCCCCTTTAGGAGCGTGTATTCATCCAAGGTGACGTCGCGACGATCGTTCAAATTTATAAATATTTTAAGTTTATAAACCGTAAATTTTGTAAACGGCTTACCAGAAAGCACTGCATTTTCTTACGAATACATTGCGAGTTATCAACAAATGACGAAATCGTCTACTAACTTGTATATACTTCAAATATAACTTTTACATTTTTGTTACTAGATTGTAAGTCCAGTGAATCACGGTCAAATATCCATTTAGTGAAGAAGAAAAAATTACATATACATGCGCAGTGTCACGTTTTGCTCTAATCGTTTTTTGTCATCAGTAGTCAATATAAATCAATAAATAAATCATTCAATTAACGAAAAATCAATTACCAAATATTTATTTAATTAATTAATTAGTAAAATTTAAGCGATGTCTCCAATCATGAAAAACTGTATTTGGGTAAATGAGACACACAATGTGATACACGTATTCTCCTACAGACAGACAGACTTGACAATGTACTAGTATTATACGGAGTGTCTTGGGTGCAGACCAATTATCATGTATAATTGGTATTGTAATTAACAGGTATTGTCGCTGTCGTTGTTAATTAATTTCTTTAATTAGTCAATCGAACAATTCAAAATGTCAAATTTGATACAAATAACTTATTGGCAAATACTATCAACGGAAAACCATATGGTATCATGATGCACCGCGTTTATATGTTTTATACTGATATTTCAAGTTGAATTAGACCCTATGTATTTTGTGACGTTTCTTCATAACTTGGTCTAGACTAGAGACGAGTGAATTGTTTTGTTTTTACACCTGTAATTCCTGGATTTGTTTTCGAGTGTGTCACCCTTTCCACTGTGTGGGCTCGCCCACAAAACATCGGCACTTCGTCCCAACTTTGACGTTTGTCCTTCACACGTTTTACGTTTAATTATTCGGAAATCTTGTACTATCGTGCCTTCAGGCGATTGGCTGCGTGATAGATACGTTTTACTAAGAGAAACCAGCCATCTTCGCGCCAATCTTGGCTCCAGATAACAAGAGATTAGACATAGTTCCATTTATGGTAAAACGTACCAAAGATTCCCTGTTCAGTCACAAAGGTGACGTCACGGCGCCGGCAATGGCGCCTCTGATTGTTGATTCCACCTCATGAATATTCATCCCAAGCGTGAAAAAGCAATTTGCATAAATAACGGCAATGAAAAAAACACTCCGTCTTAAAGAACATTGAGAAAATGGTGGTTAGCAGCGAAATACAATGATATTAATGCTACCGCAAAGGTGTTCATTTTGCTGTGGGCATCTGGCGCCAACATGACTGCAATTCCATTATTATCCATCAGTGCAGTGGAGCAAAGATAGACGAGAAAAGCAATTGGACATGGGACGTAGCTGAGACATAAATAGCGACTGGCAAATGAAACAACAATTAGCCTAACCTATACGGCACTAAACGATTGTGATTACCGAGATAATACGTTAAAATGGGCTCCATAGGGTGAGCGAATACATCGTACGTTACTTATATCGTGCTTTTTTTGTCCTGACAACGTTATTAAATATTTACTTGTTTGTTCTCAAAAAAAAAATTATTCTCGCCAAAACACACATGAAAATCATCTATATATCTGACGAGGCTAACAACGTTGTGTGGTGGCGCTGACGGTGTTCACATTGTGAGTAGCCCCACAAATTGTTGCAGGCTCGGCCTGCGATGGCACAGTAACACCACGTAGGGGGAAGCGCCTCGACAGAGGAACATGACTTAGTATATATTTACGTGAGTTTTGGATAACACACAAACAAATTATTGTTAATTGTGTCATGATATATACCATTACTGGGAGTATGGTGTCAGGTGTGTTTATTATCACGACGTATGTTTTGCTGTTGTTGCTTTAGAGACCCAGCAAAAATCGGTGTGTGACGAAATAGGCAATTAAAGAAAAGGTATTAAGGAGGGCGAGGTACTCCCTGCCGCGAAAGAAAAGTGTGAAGGTGTTCGCGCGTAATTATACTATAATTAAACATCTGATACCACAAATTGTCATTTATATAGAATGCAATCTCGCTTCGCAAGCGTGATTAATCTTCTCAAGACAATAACAGCGTCTGAATGGATGGTGACCCGGCGTGACATATTGACATTCCAATTCATACCATAAACAAATGTTTACGTAACCGAATGTAGTATATACACTAACGACAAATAATGATTCCGTTCACGTACCCGCTGGATAAGATTGTGTTACGAGGGGGTGTATTTAATAGAAGATGGCTGATACAAATTGTAAAACAGTGTAAAGGCGGGTGATCCGTTTGGGCCGCTCGACGTCACGATTTAGAAACGCTGTGTACATGGTATAAACGCTAAATGTTACCGTCTTAGCAACAACGGCTTACACTCTACCCGACTCGTAGTAGTCTAGTGGTTTATCTCCGAGCTGTTATGTGAGCTATGGTATTAGGGTCACTAAGTTAAACAAACACAAAAATGATCGTATTCTTTTTTTCTTTAAAAGAAAAAAGAGAAGAGGGTACAATAAAGACACGAAGCAGCGCAAACAGGTTTTAGCCTCGAGCGATTTCAGTACTTTCTCATGCAAGTGTAGCTGTCGGTGTGATAAACTTGTTGCAATTAAAATATGCCAAATTGTAAAAAAAAATATTTGCAGAGCATTAGGCGGCAAACTGATGTCGCGTGTCGTGGGATTAGTGCTGGTCGTTTGGAAAGCGTTCAAGTCTACGCGATGACTGGCTAGACAAGCCGACGGCGTTGTTGACTTGGTCACCACACGACATTCGTGAATGTGAAAAATTCAGTGTTGGCCACAATTTGGGTAATTTGCACATTTCGGGTAACTGTGAAATGGCTGAAGAGAGGTTCAAAAGTTAAGCGACAGTTTTCTGACCTTGTTTGTGCTGGCAATTGTCACCGGTTCTCATTGCGTCGCGTTGTCGTAGGGGCAGGCGCCAACTTTATTTCATTAAACAATAGGGACTGTCTTGAAGTGGCCAGCGAGTCAGTCACCGACATCCAGTCGCTGACGCATGGAGTAGCTGCGACTGACACAGGACCATGACGAGGGCGAAACTAGCCTCCAAAGAGCAGAAAAATCAGTAAAAACGAGAAAACACAGGAAGTACGTTTAAATTCATTGCCTCAATATAGTGGAGCTTTCCCGCAGAGACGATATGTGGGGTGAAATAAAAACGACAACAGCACGAGATTGCAAAGACTAGTGGCGTCAGTGAGTTATTCCATGATACAAGTGGCTGATATCTCGTGTCGAACAAATACGCACAGGATCATCGACAAATCGCGTAAACACTGAGTCTATTCACACTACTTCAATTTTTTTAACGTGAAATGGTGAAAAATAAAAACCGACGGCGAAAATGAGTAATGACTTTCAGGGACCGGCATTCACAAGCACGCAAAAATGTAGTCAAGTTGCTCGCCGACAAGTTTGTCGTCTAAAAGGACTGATAATTGTAAGCCATAATTATCAAGAGCCGAAATAAATGATTGCAATAATAGCCCCTAATTTAAATGGACAAAAAAGAAAAACAAGTTAGCAAAGCGTTCGGTGCTCTTTATAACGCGATAGAATGGAGCCAAGGAGACTTACAATACACATACAAAACCGCACATACGATTCAGAAGGAGAGCGGGCGGACACATCGCCGTGCGCATCTAAGGCGAAACATTTTAGAACGGAGCTCCACTCGGTTATGAACATAAAACAGCCACCCTCATTTAGGCGTAATTTGATATTGAGAAAGCGTGGGTTGGGTTTCCGCCAAAGAGGGCGAAGCACCAATCAGAAATGAATTGATAAGAGTCTCTGCATAATGTGATCGCCCTCTGAAAACATACAGCTTTACTATTTTCACCCCTGACCTTTCCACTTTGCCTTTGCCGAGCGCCATGTGACTTTCCTATGCAGTCGCATAACGTGTTCTCGAGTGCTGGTTGATCGCATAACGTTTTCTTTAAATTTGAAGGCTTGAAACAAACATTTTGGACTGTTTTTCGGTGAGATATTCCGGGGGAGAAGTAACAGCCAAGTGTAATTTGAGCTGTTATTTGCGCAACAATCATTTTAGACTCGGGGCGCGCCAAAATGTCTAGACGACCACGTGATAATTTTGAACCAATCAAGTGTTAGCAATGGTGTGGCAGTAAGTGTTGTAAATTTCAGTCGTGTTTTTGGAGTCTAGACGTACTAGTCAGTGGAGCTGTACAAGAGTGTTGATACCTCATGCTACTTCCAGCGTTTTCTCTGCGATTCCTAGCCCAACGGTCATAACCGATGTACCTTCAGATTGACAAGATCGCAAGCTATCCGTATATGTGCTTTGTTTTCGCCTCCGAGTCAAGGGTCCTGCACGAATCGGCGATTGGATTTCGGAAACCAGCTGGCGACAGACCCACTTAAGCTCCATCTCTGCTATCAAGTCGCTGGAAAATTGTGTGCTTCTTTGTGGGAATAAGAAGGAATCGTTGCCGATCCTTCAGTATTACTAGTTGTGGTATGCCAGCCCAGTCTTGATGGTTTTAAATTGTGTGCGAGAACCGAATGTCGCATGTTCAGATCGAAGCGTTCGGCGCTTGTTCGGCGACTGTGGAAGTGCCGTGCTGGGTGTGATAACAACAACGACGATGGCGAACCTGGGGAAACAGAGGCCGATCTGGAGTTGAAAACAACCTCACAATCTATATTCAAACGACTTAAAGACAGGCAACTTGAATTGCTTGTCCAAGCATTGGAAAGTAAAGGTGGTGCTATTTCAAGTTGTGTTTTACTCGCCAAAGGGGATCTACGGTTAGGCCGGAGGACGGTGTGTCCACGAGTCGTGTTATGTCAGCTGTTTCGCTGGCCCGATCTCAGACACTCATATGAACTCAAACCGCTCACATTTTGTTGTGATCACGCAAGAAATCAGGGAAATGATGACTCCCTTATCTGCTGCAACCCATTTCATCTCAGTCGCGTGTGCGGCCCAGGTATGCGATGTTATTTTTTTTTTCACTACTGCACTCGCAATTCATGCTGTCCACTTTGAACCCTTGATTTATCATAGGCCCCACTCGTACTATTGAAAAGAACTAAATTGACAAGATGGCGCCGACCGTATTTATGTGTTTATCAGTATTGCTTTCTAGTGTAATTATCTTCTAGCTGGCCTGTTTTTATTCAGACATAGCTCTCTTTCTTAGCTTCTTTCTTTTGCTTTCCACTACAGAGAGCCCGCCTCCACCCTATAGCCAGTTACCGATGGATACGTACCAACTCGAAGGTGGGTCAATCGCCGTGTTTCTCTTTATTTACGCTGTTCTGTGTTCAGATAGCTGCGTAGTTTTGCTTTGATTTTCGTCAGATGCCGCGGTGTGTGACTTTTGTACCTCTCTGGTTGTTAACATTGATACGGTTTAGTAAACATAGTTACTTTAACTCGACTGTTTCTCTCTCTCTCTCCATGTAGCACCAGATACGGGCCCGCAAGAGAGCACGGAAACGGGTGCTAGCAACACAGCATTCACACATCATAACTATACAGGTCAGTCCACATGTATATATGTATTCACTGTATGTTTGTTTTTTCCAATCGGTCAGTTTATGATTGGAAACCCGGGTGAATAGTTTATGCAATTGTTGCGGTGGGAGCAATACCACTAGTCTCCTCCAAAAAAAGCGTAGGTCAAAACGCCATATAAGCAAATTTGACGGGAATGCGGTGTAAAAACACACACACACCGGGTCGAATGAGGACAATCAAACGCGAGCGGCAATGTATGTATGATTGTATTTGGGTAAAACAAATAATAGACAACACGAAATCAATAAAAGAACCTCATTAATTAAAAGAAGGGTATATTCAAAATATTGTTTTCTCTGAAAAAGACAACATCCATATTTATATATTTTTTTATTAAAACTAAAACTTCATTTCAGAAAATAAAATACAAACTGACCTTTGTACATGCAACATACCATAAACATTAAATTTGAATTAACTGACAACAAATCCTAGTTTAATATATGTGAGTAAACAACATGAAGAAACTTCTCAATTTTGAAATAGTTTAGACATAAAAATAAATAAAGTTGACAACTGTAACAAAACAACATTTACTTAAAGCTTGTGCCATTTTCAGGGCTTCTCAAGTTTCATCTGTGCACAGACTAAGCATTTTTTAGAGTGTTTTGAAAAAGGGGGAGGGGCATTAGTAAATAAATTTTAAAAAAAGAAGAGAGAGACTGTCTGAATGGAGTAATACTATCATTGACATTAATATTTGCCATCTAACTTTATATATTTTTAAGTTTTATAACTTTCCGTTTTTGAAATGTACAGCATTTTTCAAACTAACTTGCCTGGAAGTAAAACAACTTGTCAGTTGCAATTATTGACTACTCTATCAAAACAGAGGGATGTAAGGACTCCCCAACCTACTGTAAATTAACCTTTTAATGTACCTCTGTATAAAGACTTTCTCAAATATGCCGAACTTGGATGACACAGTTTCATGGAGAAATGACCTATTACCATGGCAACAGACTTTGTAATCTACCCAAAATTTAAACTCTGAATTACCTAATCACATTTCCGGTATTCACTGTGATGGATAGTTACATGTCTTCAAAGTTTGTCCCACTACCAGATAAAACAAATTTGGATGCCATAAAAAGTATGAGCGAGCTGATAACTTTAATAGTTTGATGAGATGCTCCCGAGAATAAAAAAATTCCAATGCATCTGTGTTTCCACCATGTATACACAGAGAGGCACACACTATCCAAGTTGTAGCTTGACCTAGAGCAAAGCGCAGTAATTGATAACAGACAGATTTTATCACTGGTATGTAGTCAAATCAGAGAAAGCTTCAATAAAATAAAAAGGAAGTTAAAGCTATTTAATAATTGTGTGGTCGCTTCAGAGATACTGGTTAATGCCGTTAACACCATGTCTTGCCTCAATTACTGTTGTTTATTTAACATGGTGAACTTCTGGGCTTGTTTGTCATACGTCATGTGTTTTCGGTCATTCTTTGCTCGTCAACATTCTGTGGCCCAATTAGAGTAGGTTTATTCTTTCATCATGGGTTGGCTTATGGATATACTGCCTCAGTATGTGTTGGATCTAGACAACATGTTTTAAGAAAATCAACCTTTTTTTTCGCCAGTTTTCTCCTATAGCTTGCTTTCCTGACCTCACGTTTCAGACTTGTCTTGTGCTCGGGAGTGTTTCGAATTAGTTTGAAGTAACAGCTACTCCTAATATTATTTTAACATGCTGAACTAGCATGCTGTGTTCCGACCACGTCAGTCAGTAGGTGTCATTGTGGAACTGCTTCGGAAAATTATTTAAATACCAAACTTTATCTAGGCCTCCACGTTTTATTTTTCCTGTCCATTAATTATAGCGGGTAAGTTAACGTTTAGGTTTCGCATGTCGTAGGATGTGATAGTATTAAGATACTATGGTGGTGTGGTCTCTTGTTGATTGCATTGACGGCAGCTTTGTTATGTATGTAGGCATGTTTAGTTCTGACGCAGAATAGACCTCAGTTTACTTAAGTCAACAAGACTTTTCTTTGAACCTATGTGAGTAGATCTGCGGGAGGCATGGCTTTTGCTCAGAAAAAAACCCCCATAGAGTAGAGAACGCCTAAGTTTGCAATGATGGTACCATTCACTCCCTGATTCCATGTACCAAAGTTAGATAGGGGTCAGGGCCTGCCACCATTTTTCTGACTGGGTGTATTTGAATTTCAATGCTTAGAGTGAGTTGGTCATTGTATAATGTGTATTACCTTTTCAGTTTGTGTGTTTCCAGGCCACTTAGCTGTACTTAGTGCATTTGTACCTTTTTTATGCTAAAATGTGTGTGCCGCAGTGAAAACTGACAGAGTTAGCCTGTGTCAATAGTGAAGGGTTGAGTACAAGTCAAACCATATAGTGATCAGGCATGACCCAGTTTGACCACTGACAAATTTTACCAGATCTTTTGACATGACTATGGTTTGGGTAATTTATCATTAACTTAGGTAAGGTCAGTGTTTCTGTTAAATGTCAAAGCTGTGATGTATATCTTTTTCAGAGAAAAATCAGAAACATGTTTAAAAACACTATTTATAAATGAGAAGGCGACAGGTCAGGTTTACAACTGTTTATTATCTAATGAGTTCATTAAAAATAACTATTTTTCCTAGTTCACGATTGCTTCTTTTTCCTCTTCATTTGTATAACATTTTTAAAAATTCCAGGATAAAAATATTATGGTATTCAATAATACTAAAATAAAACTGTGACCTCATTAATGCTAAGTATTATTATCATTTAAATTAACACTGCTTCTGCAGGATGTCCGCATTATATGTTAACATTTTCACCACCAGACTCTCTCACCTAAATTATTCTGCATTTTTTTCTTATATTCTTCAATATTTCTGAAAATGAACCCTAATTTTGGAGCCAACAGACAAATTCTCATCAATTTTAATATTTGACTCAACAAATTTGGCTAATTTTGGCCCAATTTTTAAATAGGACTATTTTGTGAATTTGTAATAAATAGAGGGAACTGGTGGTGAAAAAGTAGATAATTGCAACCTTTATGGAAACCAGACTGTATTTTCAAATTTAATTTAAGAAAAAAAAGGGGGGGGGCCTGTCTTTCAGATGTTATTTTTCTCTGTGGTAAAACTAACTTGCTTTTATGTCAACACTATAATATTCTGCTTGGAGCTATGTCCAAATTGACCCAGTAAACGAATTTGTGTATGGTAAATCACTTAATGTCGACATACTTTTTTTTTTCTCTCCCATCTCAGAGTGATTCGATCAAGCTCCGTCCCAGTTTTCGGTTCAATTTTATAATCAAGTTTAAAAAGAAACTCCAACTGATCGCATTTTTTGTTAAGCTCCTCTGGGGTTGAATGTCGTCTCCACAAAGGGAATCGTAAATGGTTGGGGGAGGGTGAATACCGTACACAGCGTGGGCTTGGCGAGTGGTTTGTAGATTAAGAATCTCAGCACACAGTCGTTGTGAAAAGCCATGTTGGCAAGACAGTGAATTGCTATTATATCCTATTCATACATACTTCACAACCCCTTTTCCCATTTACACATTTTCTAAATGGTGTCCAATCAGTTATTTGTTTTGAGGTCAAGGCATTCACAATGTTTCGCCAGATGACTACATACATATACCTGTAGTGTGGTTTAGAGGTGTTGCCCAATCGTGAGTGTCAATTTAACTCATATAAAACAGGAAATTTTAAACCATGCGTATTTACTTTAGGTATACAGGTTGCTGATCTTGATGGGCTGTGTAGTAACTTGTTTGTTTTTGTAACTGGTAAACCTTGCTTCATGGGAATATTAACTGTATACTGTAATGGCGTTGTGAAGACAATTTTTTTTTCATTTTTTAGGATCCTGTCCACAATGATTTCAGTGACTTGTCTCGCTAAAATTAAAGAATTCGTTTTGTACACAAAAAATGGTTGATATTTCGCCACTAAAAATCATTAATTTATTGAATTCTCGGGGCATTCAATCAGATGAAAATTTCACAAAAGTTAGAGCGACTTCCCAGCCAAATTTTCACTATGATTTTTCTAAATTTTGAAAATATGTCACTTGCCATATTAAATCGGCATTATTTTCCCAAAGCTCATAATTTCCTATAAAAATAATAACTCTTGTAGCTTAATAATCTGAATTGTTAGATTGTGTTCAATATTACAAGTCCCTGTTATTTCTGTGCAGAGATGAACAATCTGTATCTGTTGTGACAGCTTTTAGTGGTGCCGGTCTGTCTGTATCCACTGTCTCTCTGCTTCCACTATGGTGCCTGCTGCCTCATGTATATCAGTGGGTTGTATTTGCATAGTGTATAATGGTAGTCCATTATATGATATTAGCATTCTTAGAATCAACCTGTCAGTAGCTAGGAGTTAAATCCCTTCAAGGCTTTAGCATTGCACCTTATTTACTACTAGCTACATGCTTACCTAATTCTGTGTTTGGGTATTGCATATTCTTTAAAACTGTTTTAATTCCAGATTTTAATTTTAACGTATTTTAAAGTGTATGGCAGCGTAAATTTCACTGAGGCCTCTAAGACGTGAAAAACTTGCATGACTATTTGACTGTACTAACGCTATTAATTTCCTATTAAATTAAAACAACAATTTTTCACGATACTCTCTCTAAACCACAAATGCATGACCCAGTTTTTTTTTAAAACTTGCGTAATAATCACGTAATTCATGTAAATTTATGAATTGCACTGCTTTCGTAATTTTATTGCAGTTTTCACAACATTAAAGTCATTTCCCTCCAAAATCGCAAGGGAGCAATTTGTTCATGCGTCCAGGTAGAACGCTTCAAAATTTACATTTATTATATACCAGAATTGCAAAATATATATTTTGACTATAGGCACACCTCTGTCATGTATGTTAGAGCATGGGCTACTATTTTATCGCAAGGACGATACAAGTAAAACATTATGAAACTTTATTATCTATGTATAAATGATATGATGAT